TTTTGTTTTCCTTTGCTTCCACATGTGTCCTTTGTTTTTGGTTTATTAAATTGCCTTTATTTTGACCCATGAGGTTTTCTATCTTATTTTCTCTCCATTCTGTCCTGTTGAGGAAAAAATAGATAAAGTGGCTTGGTGGGCACCTGCTATCCATCCAAGGCCAATGCACCACACCTATCCAAGCTTTACATTGCAAGAATAAAGGAGGGACTGAGGAAGGATGCCAGTAACAAGTTTTCTGCCAGCTTTTACTCCTATCCATTGATCTGCACACTGTAGAATGAAAAGTTTCTTTGACTTCCTGTGACATGCATACACAGAATGACTTATTAAAACTGATACATAGACTGAAAAACAGGTGTCCTTAGATGGAGTGCACTGCTAATTCAACTTTGAAACTAATTTATTGAATTCAGTTTGATTTCAAGAGTTCGATGTGGTTTTAATTCCTCAGAAGTTTCTGAAGGATGAATGGCAGATAAAGGAGTATGGTGTGCCATCCCAAATTATCTATTATCTGCAACTCTGCTTATAGAAAATTTTTGTGAGAAAAAAAGTAACATATCTGAGGAAGAAGCACTTGCTTTTTCTTGAAAACTAGAATCTGTAAGATTCCTCCTCATAATAATTAAACAAGTTCCAATATCCTTCACTGTGTACAATGTAAGTAGCAGGATTAGCACCCAGTTCTTCAAGCACATATAGTGTGCATACAACTGAAGTGTTTTGCACTGAGGTAATGCAACTTTATTCTGAAAGTGTTAATGAACTACTATGTTTAAAAGAATTTAAAAAGCAAATTCCACTCTGAGAGGTGACTTACCTCAATCAGCTAGGCCATTTAGTCACTCATCATGTTATATTCCATATAAAGCATATTACTGAAATAAGCTGTCACTGAAATGTATTTATTGTGCTGTTATATTAAGAGAATCTTAGCCTACACTCATAATAGCAGCACTTTCTTGAAAGACAAAAAGAAGAGAAACATCAGGAAAACCTGTAACTCTATCATTAAAGACTCTCACTTCTACATACTTCAGTTTACCTTCTTTTTTTTTTCTTTTCTGCAGGTTGTGACCTCATTCCGGTCCAGTATCTCAGATGGGGTGACCCCGAACCAATTGCAGCAGTTGTTTTTGCATGCCTAGGTTTGCTGGCCACGTTGTTTGTCACCGTTATATTCATAATGTACCGTGATACTCCAGTGGTCAAATCATCCAGCCGAGAACTTTGCTACATCATTCTAGCTGGCATCTGCTTGGGTTACTTGTGCACTTTCTGTCTCATTGCAAAACCTCAACAGATTTACTGTTATCTTCAACGAATTGGCATCGGCCTCTCCCCAGCTATGAGTTATTCTGCTCTAGTAACTAAAACCAACCGCATTGCAAGAATCCTGGCTGGAAGCAAAAAGAAAATTTGTACAAAGAAACCTAGGTTCATGAGTGCCTGCGCCCAACTGGTCATTGCATTTATCTTGATATGTATACAATTAGGCATAATTGTTGCCCTCTTTATAATGGAGCCACCAGATATAATGCATGATTATCCAAGCATCCGAGAAGTCTACCTGATTTGTAACACCACCAACCTGGGCGTTGTAACACCCCTTGGATATAATGGATTATTAATCCTGAGTTGCACCTTTTATGCATTTAAGACAAGAAATGTCCCAGCTAATTTCAATGAAGCAAAGTATATTGCCTTTACTATGTATACCACCTGCATCATTTGGCTGGCTTTTGTGCCAATCTATTTTGGAAGCAACTACAAGATAATCACCATGTGTTTCTCGGTGAGCCTGAGTGCCACAGTGGCCCTCGGCTGTATGTTTGTGCCCAAGGTCTATATCATCCTGGCTAAGCCCGAGAGGAACGTACGCAGCGCATTCACCACATCGACTGTGGTCCGCATGCACGTAGGGGATGGAAAGTCATCTTCAGCTGCAAGCCGTTCAAGCAGCCTGGTGAACCTATGGAAAAGAAGGGGATCATCGGGTGAAACCCTTAGGTAAAGTCTGCTAATGTGGGAGTGTGGGGAATCAATTACGATTTTCTGAGAGCTGCTATAGTGGAAGGACAAAGGGAAATACATTAATTTCACTTGCCTCTGCACTGGGAGAAGAGTCCTCAAACCAGGACAGGTCCTCTCTCCCACATCTGGAACAGTTTGTGTTTTGATATAGACAAAAGGCTGTGCAAAAACAGGGGACAGAGCGATGGGCAAACAATTGCAAGGCTGGGTACTGGCTGGGTCACCTGTACACTTAATGTAGGGAGGGAAACAAGATCTTAGGAGAAAAAAACAACAGGCCAAGAAATATAATTCGTTGCCCTCTCCCAAATGCACCCATTTACAGTCTTTTTCCCATAAATGAATTGCATAGTGTCTGCATTTTGCCTTTAGTCACAGCAGTAAGACAACGGGGTTGCTGCTAGTGCTACAAAATCAAGGTGAAGTAGTAAACACAACTGGAATCGTGAACAACCACTCTCAGGCATCTGAGGATTTGTTTCATATGACTCTTCTGTTATATCTTTTATCTCCTTTTCCCTTGACTTTCCTTTCTTGTATTATCTCTTCCTGCTTTCTACCTTTTTGTCCTCATCTCTCTTCTCTTCTTTACCTTTCTTGATACCTTTTTCTGTATTCATCCTCCTAACTCCATCAAATTCAGATGCTCACAGGGCCTGCTCTTGTTACCTTTCTTGCAATTGAGCAACTACTCCCTTTTGAGATATTTCTTCATTGCTTCCCAAGGAATTATTTTAATTCAGTGTTCATGAAGATGACTTGTATGTTCAGTGTATAAAATTTTCAGGAAGTGAACACCAAAGAGAAGGGAGAGCTCTGGACTGGAAATACTGTCCAGCTTCATAGAGAGAGCACATAGAAATTCACCCAGCCCAGAGGTTCATTTTCACCTGTTGACCTCTTTCATTTTGATATGGGAACTACGGGGATGATTTGGATTATTTAACTGCCGGCATAAACAAAGAATTCTGCCACTGCAAAAGTGCAGCAAAACAGTGTTGTCATTCCTCGGCTATATATATCTGGCCTGGAAGTGACAAGGACCTAAAATTTCCTCTTCACTGAAACACAAGTGGATTTTAGGATTGCTAATATGAGTATTTCCAGACATGCCATTGTTCACAACTGGAGATGGTATGGAACAAGGGCAATTTGTACTTACTTCTATTTTTATGTGAACCACAATTTAGACTCGAGGGAGTATTTTATTAATAAAACCTACAGAACAGATTATGCCAAACTGATGATTTGTTTCTGTCAGATAATCATTAACGCTTCTCTTTCAGTAACTTTGCATTGATCCAGAAATGGCCAGTCTGATACAAGGTATTTTATACCTATGATCAGGTAGTGATGGTCCCTTCCAGCTCCTTTCTATGTGCACAGTAGAATGCCATTTTAAAATGATAAATCCTTTATCAGTTTAATTGATGGCTACCTGAAATGTCCTCTTCTACAACCTCTGTCTGTATGCCTGAATGACCTGAGGTGTTCAGGTTTGAAGTCCTATAACAACTTCTAGGCCAGCTAAAAGAGGTATTCTTCATAATACATCCTCAGAAGGAGGGCATTCTTCCTCTCTGAAATCATTACTATTTTCCCTCACTTTTGCTGCAGAGCTCATTTGTATCTCAAAATGTTTTTATTCAACAAGATGACGTTATAGATGACAGGAAGACCTTGGGCTTGGAAAGGATTTGTTTGTCATTATTTGTGCCCAGTTTTGAAAGGTATTAATCTAAAGTCTTTGTTTTGTTCAGAAAAGTAAGGATTGTACCCTGCTATTAAATATCCTAAAAGACAAGATTTATTTTCTTCTTTTTGAGGACTCTGTTTACAATTTTTTTGTATCACTCAATATGTAGGTAACACCTACAGTAGAGAGCTATTAGCAGAATAAAATCATCATCAACAATGACTTCTTTTTCAATAGCGTTCACTTGGAAACATCTTCAATCCTGATGAGCATTGAGCATTCCAGATATGTGTGTATAGGAACGAAAAATGCAGCATAAAGTCAATATATTGACATACTTGCCTAGATATAAAGAGCTAGAACATTCAATTTGAAACTTTGAGAACTTCTATGTCATCTGTAGCGTTCATCAACACATAAATCTGCAACAAAGAAGACACTTCTTATGCATATGTCTGAATCCTCAGCTGGTTATACTGTGATAGCAGCAGTGAACTTAGCAGTGCTCAGTCAATGTGTGCCTGAAGAGTCTGGGAATCCAAGAGCAAACTGATTCCATCGATAATGGCTAATTCTCTCTGATCAATGTCTATTTGGCTGCATGAAAGAAAACAAAACAAAGTACTGAAATGTGCTGAGTAAATTTAAAATGCTGCTCAAGACTTCACCTATGTCTGATATAAACTCTAAGAAAGGAAATAAAACTGCTTTCAGCTTCAATTCTGCTTGCTGTAGAGCAAGAACAAACAGAATCCAATCATTTTACTAAATATTCAAACATTTCTTTAAAAAAAATCTTGTTGCAATAAGTAATACATTTCAAGGTATTTCAAGGTTTCAGTACAAAGCTCAAAAGCTAGTTTGGACAGTTATTCAGGAAAACACTGAAGTATTCAGAATCAAAGGAAATATTCAGCAGAGCTACATGGCATTATTTAATAGCTCAAGGGGTTTTATTTAAAAGAGAGTGAGTCACTGTTGAATTTTAAAGAAACATGCTATTTAAGTCACTAGTGCATAGAGGGGCCCCTATCATTAGTATTTTGCTTCTTGACACTAATTTAAAGCACAGTGTAGTATTGCATCAAATTATTGTCAAACAGATAATGCCAAAGCTCCATTCAGAGCTTTTACATCAGCTGCAAAACACACAAGACTGTGCTTGCTTCAACAAAACTATGCATCTGTTAGAGTCCTAAATTACTTTCTTCTTAAAAAAATGTTAAGAAAAGTCAGGCAAGCTGTGGATATGTGTAAACTTCATGTACTGAAATATGTAGAAGGAAAGAGTAAAACTATTCGTTACCTACTGAAATGAAAACCATTTTATGTAGGCTATTGTGATTCAGCAGTACTCACCAAAATATATTCTATCCTCATTTAAAAGAGGAGCTACAAACCAGACATTACCAGAGATGACTCCACAAAGAAGAATTCTGAACACTACATAGACAGAGTCAAATCTGCACGACCTGTGTAGAGGCATCTGGACCTTTGGCTTTTAGTTATCTTAGCAGTTAATTTCACGGGTAAGGACATACATAAATCTGAGCAAATCTTACCTTAAGGTCCCAGGAAATTTTAGCACCAGGAACTTTTAGCACCAGGAACTATTATGCCACACAGCCCTTTTGCAAGAGTTCAAGATATAGGGCTAATTTACCCTCTCCTCATTCTCAAATGACTCTGTATCCCAGGTAATGTATGGACTGCATATTTCTGCTACAAGAGCTGCTACAATGATATTTCTAGCCAGCACAGCACACCAAAATATGTCAACCCACCTTGGCCTGGTTCCAGTTTCTTACCTTTCTAATATCTTAGTCCTGGATTTCACACAGTAATTTAACTACTGTAGGTGTTTATCTCTTCTACAACATGTTTTTAAATGATCCAAACCACACAGCTCCATTTTCCAAGCATACATGTACTGACCTTTTAAATACATTCATCTCCCTCCACCTACCCCTAGAAAAGCAAGTTTTCTTTCCTTTAAAGCAGGTAATAAACTGTTCTGAGTAACCAGCAAAGTGTTAAAACCAGCTCTAAGCACTCTCTCTCCCACACATATCTGCTAAGCAAGTCTTACAAATCCTACCACTATTTTTCTCTCTGCCCTTTAAATTTCTCCCAAATCTTCACCGCGTAGCAAATGCTCTTCCTCTCCAATTCTACCACTGTTGGTTGTAGGTGCCCCAGAGGTTCCTGCCATCAGCTGCCTCTTTTGGAGGTCCCCAACCCACCTTCAAGTTTTCTCAGTGGCTTCAGCAGCAAATTCTGCACAGTTCCAGCCTGTAACATCTTTTGGGAAAATCAAAGAGAACTTGGCATCCTTCTATAGATTAAACTGAGACCTGGACACCAACATCAGAGCTGTTCAGGCAGTGAGATGGGAACCTCTGAAAGAAGAGTGAGGTTAGAAAACACCATTGCCATCCTGAGGTAAGGCTCTCTGCTTGGAGATGAGATATTTAGATCTTATATATCACCCTTCATTTAGTTTTGAAGTGACTGTGAGAGGCAGAAGAAAGGAATTAGACAGCTAAAGTGTTTTTTAACTGCCAGTTGGCCCCTTTCCCTGTGTTGATGTAGGACTCATTTAGGTTTCTCCTACAACATTCTCGAAAAAACAAAGCTGGTAGGTGTATAGTACAAGGCAAAAATACTCTCCTGAAACAAAAAAAGACAGATTATAATCCTCTAAATAAGTTAGGACCTCTGAAAGAAATTGTTCATTGCAGCAAAAGGATGGATTAGTACTTTCAGGCTGTTACCCAGGCAGGTAGATAAGGTCATTCAACAGGAAAGAATTGTCACCAGCAAAGTCAGATAATGTTAGCCATGTTCAAGATACATGAATGTTTGTGGTATTGCACATAATTCCTCCATACAGATGTGAAGAGCACAATACTAGACAACAGAAAAAAAGAGACACATCGATTTCTGCACCTTATCATAGACACTTAATCCACAGCAACACACACATCGCATTGAGATTAAAGCTTAATAGCCCAAAGTGGCAGTGATGCTTTATTCCACCTGGGTTTACTACATGATGCACTATTTCCTAAATAATTAAACATAGACTGTGGCTGTCAAATCAAATTAACTACTTGTGTGTTTTTTAATGTATTATCTTGTCCTCTTAAGAAGTTTGGCTACCACTGTGGGGTTGCAGAACAAGGCATTGCTCTGTATGCATCTACAGGAGTGCAGCACTGACAGCTTTCATTCAGGAGTGAGGATCCCTTGCTCTGGTGAGCCAACATACCCTTAGGTG